TTGTAGACATGACATATTAAATGTACAAAATAAAAGACCAAGGTTAAGTAATCTGAAAAATACCACATATCTTTGGCATTGTAGGCTTGGTCATATTAATGAAGCCAGAATAGCAAGGCTAAGTAAATTAAATTACTTAACGCCATTTGATTTTGAATCATATGGTAATTGCGATTCGTGTCTCTCAGCTAAAATGACGAGTAAACCTTTTCATGGAAAAGGACTACGGGCCAAAGAAGTGCTTGAATTGGTTCACACAGATGTGTGTGGACCATTCCCAACTCAAGCTAGAGGAGGTTTTTCTTACTTCATCACGTTTACTGACGATTTCTCTAGGTTTGGATTTGTGTATCTTATGAAACACAAATCAGAAGCTTTTGAGAAATTCATGGAGTATAAGGCTGAAGTAGAGAAACAACTTGACAAGAGTATCAAGACTCTACGATCTGATCGTGGAGGGGAATACTTGAGTAAGGAGTTTCTCGATTACTTAAAAGGTCAGGGAATTCAGTCACAATGGACTCCTCCAAGAACACCTCAATGGAATGGTGTCTATGAAAGGAGAAATAGAACCTTGTTAGACATGGTTAGGTCCATGATGAATTCCACGTCTCTTCCAACATCTCTTTGGGGGTATGCATTGCAAACTTCGATATACATTCTGAATAGAGTTCCATCTAAATCAGTGCAAAAGACGCCATATGAGTTATGGTGTAATAAGAAGCATGTTCTTTCACATATTAAAGTGTGGGGTTGCCCTGCTTATGTAAAGAAATTGCACACTGATAAGTTAGGAGCTAGAAGTGAGAGATGTTATTTTGTGGGGTATCCTAAAGAAACTAGGGGATATTATTTCTATCATCCTGATGAACATAAAATCATTATTTCCAGACAGGCACGATTCCTAGAAGAAGACTTGGTCTTCAAGGAATTCAATCGTGAGAAGATAGTACTAGAAGAAATTCAAGAATCACAAAATAACATAGAGGATGAAGACTTGTTAGATGGTCAAAACAAGGATTCAGTGGGAGGATTAAGCGGAAGTATGTCCCTAGGAGGATATCCTTCAGCTAGTGGGAGTAATATAGGAAGCACCTCGCACCAGCAAGTGGTTCCTATTAGGCATGAAAGAAATGACATGGTTGTCATTCCTTCTGCACCTACTTCTCCTTCTCTGGAAACACTTAAAAGTGTAGCACCAGAAAATTCTCCGAGCATTGGACAGTCCAATGCAAGTGAACCTCTTCACAATCAGAATGAGCAGCCTGAACAATCGCAAAATATTCAACTTCGTAGGTCTACTAGGATTCGTCATGAACCAACTAGGTTTGGCTTCCTCATGGAGGATCATGATGATGTTGAAATTCCTGACAAGGATGAACCTAAGACTTACACTGAAGCAATATTCGATATTGATTCAGAGAGGTGGCAAGAAGCCATGAAATCTGAAATGGACTCGATGTATATCAATCAAGTATGGAACTTGGTTGACTTGCCTGTTGGGGTTAGGCCCATTGGATGCAAATGGGTTTTCAAGAAGAAAATTGATGCCGAAGGCAAGGTGCAAACATACAAAGCTAGGCTAGTGGCTAAAGGTTATAGTCAAAGAGAAGGAATTGACTATAGTGACACCTATTCGCCAGTTGCAAAACTCAAGTCCATTCGAATTTTGCTTGCGATAGCAGCATACTATGATTATGAAATTTGGCAAATGGATGTCAAAACTGCTTTCCTTAATGGAAACCTCAAGGAGGAGGTGTACATGGTACAACCTGAAGGTTTTATATCCAAGTCAAATCCCAAATCAGTATGTAAATTGGAGAAATCCATATATGGGCTAAAGCAAGCCTCAAGGAGTTGGAATATCCGTTTTGATGAAGCGGTCAAATCGTTTGGCTTCATCAGAAGCAATGAGGATGCGTGTGTATATACAAAACGCAGCAAGGATAGCGTGGTCTTTATGGTCATATATGTTGATGACATTCTGATCATAGGGAATGATATCCCCTTATTGAAGTCCGTGAAAGAATGGTTATCCAATATCTTCATGATGAAAGATCTAGGTGAAGCCTGTTATATCCTTGGGATTAAGATCTATAGAGACAGAGTTAACAGGATGTTAGGTCTTTCACAATCCACGTATATTGACAAAATACTACATCGATTTAAAATGGAAGAATCTAAGAAAGGATTCCTCCCGATGGGTCATGGGATATCGTTATCAAAGAAGGATAGTCCTTCAACTGATGATGAGATCAAACGCATGAGAGGGATTCCATATGCTTCTGCAATTGGTTCAATCATTTATGCTATGATCTGTACTAGGCCAGATGTGGCTTATGCGCTTAGTATTGTTGGTCGATATCAAAATAATCCAGGAGAACGGCATTGGAGTGCTGTTAAGACTATTCTTAAGTATCTTAGACGAACTAAAGAATATTTCTTGGTTTATGGTGGACAAGATAAACTAATAGCATCTGGTTACTCTGACGATAGCTTCATGACAGATAAGGATGACTATAAGTCACAATCAGGATATGTTTTTAATCTCAATGGAGCAGCAGTAGACTGGAAGAGTTCCAAGCAAGACACTACAGCTGATTCGACAACAGAAGCCGAGTACATTGCTGCATCAGAAGCAGCTAAAGTGGCCGTATGGATACGTGAATTCCTCAAAGATTTAGGGGTTGTTCCAAATGATAGTCATCCAATAACCATTTATTGTGACAATACTGGTGCTGTTGCACAAGCAAAGGAACCAAGATGCGACAAGAGGAATGGACATGTGCCGAGGCGCTATCATGTGATTCGAGAGCAGATAGCAAGAGGAGAGGTTGCAATAGAACGTGTTTCCACTGAGGATAATTTGGCTGATCCCTTCACCAAACCTTTGAGCTGTGAGAAACATACTAGACATTTTGAGAATGTAGGTGTTAGACGCATTGGTGATTGGCACTAGGCCAAGTGGGAGATTGTTAGTATATATGTCCTAGCGACAATCATTTCTTTAAAGACATATGTACTTGATCACATTTAGTTTTTATATTTGATATATACACGGTATTACACTTTATGAATGATTGTTTTCGATTGTCAATGTTTTATTCATAATTGTGTTCCTTTGGATTTATGTTGTCAATAAGTAAGTGGGAGCTTATATGATATAACATAAGGTCCTAAAATAGCCCCAATCAATGATCATCAAGAATGGGATATTGATGATATACGATAAGATTGGTATGTGGACTGCATCATACTTTTAGAAAGTATAGTTGATCTCACGACTATGAGTTCCTGTAATTCATGATGATCACATAGATATTTTAGAGAATACTGGCATACCCACCGAGAAACCATTTGATAAGTTCTATTCATGTGTCTATGGGATTATCGGCGTATAGAGTAGTGTAATAGTCCTCCGACTTGAGGTCAATACATACTACATGTGCGGAGTGATGTACTTTGACCATGACCAACGCTTGCACTCCAATCGGGGTAGATACGGCATGTGTTGGGTGCATCACGAAGCACATGGAGTAGTAGTTGAGCCAAAAAAGGATTCATTCCTCATAATAGATTAAGAGAGAACATTCTACTTCTCATATCTAGATGGATCATAAAGTCATTGGCCAATGCAAAGATATATTCGTTTTGGATATCGAATATGATCGTTATGGATCATCTAGAAAGATTGAGAGACAGAGACTGAGTTATTGGGATAGACACTATATCATGTTCTAGACTTTGTTGTATGTTCACTGAATGAAAGGACCGTATCACTATGAGCTCTATATTACAGGGAGTTTGTATAGTCCTCGCAAACGTCCTTATATATTAAGTTTGTCTGGAGATTCGTCTAGGGATTCGCTAAGACCTTAATTTGATTAGTGCTTAATATATAAGGCCCTATGGGTCACACAACAAGTGATTATACCTTCCGATTGAATTGTTAGAAGGAATTAAATATTATTAATTGGATTAAATAATATTTAATTCGTAATACTGAAAATGAATTAAATATTAATTAGATTAAACATATTTAATTCATGAAGCTGAAGGAGAGTTCTATTTGATAGAATTAATTAAGTAAGATAAATTAGATTTATCATACTTAATTAAGATGTATTTATTATTAAATAAAGTAGATATTTTCTTTTGTAATTTGGAATTAAAAGAAAAGTAAATAAAATAAATATTAATATATAATAATTAGAAAGTGGCGTGCAGCCACATCTCAATTATTATTATTATTATTTTGTTTTGTTTTATCTACTTATTTATTTAATTAGGAGTATTGGTCCTAGTAGGATTAGAACTCATTAATTAGAAAGACTTTCATTGTGATTGAGAAACTAGTTTCGAACTAGTATAAATACATCCTTCTCCTTCATAATTTGCAGACCAGTTTTCAGATTCAGTATTACCAGTTTATTTCCCTGCGAAGAGATTTCCTAGCCTTTCTCTTAGGGAGATCTAACCGTTCTTTCGGAAAGGAGAAATCACGTGGATACCAAAGGTCAAGGAATATCACCGCTAGGCTGGGAGATCTGTAAGTTCTAACTCAGATCTGTTATTATTATCATATTCGTTATTTTGTCATAATCAGGGAAGATCTGTTTGGGAAAATTTTAAACTTCCGCTGCCGTACTTTCGAGGTACGTTACATCAATTTCCTAACATACATACACAATGAAATACAAATTTACAAAATGAATGGACAAAATTTGGTTGAATTAAATTGTAATTATAGATACTTCCTATATACTCCGTATGTAGTACTCTAATACCCTATACGTAGTACTAACTATACACTTCTCATATACGTACTACTAACTAACTAACCCTATATATCTTTTACATTAGTACATATTTTTACCCATTTTATAGCATCAATAAAACGGTCTAAATACAACATCTAATATAATACTCCGTATCTGGTACTCCGTACTACGTAATAATAATAACAATGATAAGAAGAAGATAATAATTTCCCTACGAGAGTTAGGGTTTTCCTTTCACCGAATTTTTGTGGGGCATAGTTATGTTTCAGATTTCTCTCTTTGGTTTTTTAGTTGCAGGTTTTTGAATGTTCAATTTGATTGGTTCGCTGGTGTTCAAAGTTTCACATTTGTTTATTGGATTGCCGATTTCTCCATTTGTTGGCGTTGGTGTCTTGGTGCATCGGGCGAGCATCTTTTCTGGAGCAGGGGCGACCGCGGTAAAAAGATCGGAAGCATTTGTAGAGAAACGGCGGTACCTTCGAAATTGGAAGATTTCAATGGCACACTTGGAAAAGCAATATGGCAATCTGAATGTGGAGGATGATGAGAAAGAGCTGACTTTTGACATGGTAGACAGTGATGCGGATCATGTCGCTAAGTTGGCGGTCGAATGGATTGTGACTGGGAGTGTATCGGTGTTGGATCAGGCAGCCTTGGTCGGCCGCTCTGATGGTAGTGGAGTTAGTATTCACCCCTATTACAAGAGATCATCCTCCCCAGAACAGTGGCGGAGCTGTTTTGTTCTAAAGTATTCACAAGAACACCCAAAATAATTAAAAACATAGTAGTGTACATGTGTAAATTTAGTGTAATTATATTTATTCTTCTTTAAATTTTTATTTGTACAAAATTGAGCACTTGAATTCTAAATTCCAGATCCGCCACTGCTCCGGAACCTCCTCCTTACCAGGAAAAGTTTTGTGGAAATAGTAGTACTTGTTTTTATTTTAGTCCGAGTAGGTTTTCTTTGGATGTTTGGATTTTTGGTATTCTTTTGATAGGCAGGGTTTCGGATCTGGTCGCTTTAGGCCTAAATTTGCAAGTTTCAGGTTTAGCGAGTCAGGTTGTTTGGTATGAGGTGACTGACTCTAAGTTTACGCCTAGTGTTTACGATTGAATATGTGAGTTCTATCTGAATGTTTTCTTGTATGTGTTCTCAATTTTAATATAATGACCGCTCTTTATGATCAGAAAAATACTACTCTGTATGTAATTTAGACTTTTACAGGTTGTGGTCTTTTTTGTTTAATTTTGAGTCCTACCGGCATTAAAGAAACCCAAAAATGTAATTCTAAATTCTTTTCTAAGTATCCCAAGTCCTAACTTATTATAAAGTAAATCATTTTGTACTCATGGTTTGTTACAATGAAAACTTTTTTATGATATTCCATACTCATGGTAAAGCATGAAAAGTTATTATCAAGTTTTTGTTCCGAACCGTGAATTTAATTTTGTTTGATTCTAAAATTCTGCATCCACAATCAATATTCTTGCTGTTTATATTTTTATGCATGAAAAAATCAAAATAGTCCAGAAAAGCACTAATAAAAGTGGATGGAACTGGAAACGAACCGGCCCGGGTATAAACTGGGTCCGGGCCGGGGCCGGGGCGGTTCGGGTCGAGCCCGGTTCTATGTTTTTTTCTTTCTAATTAACCCCCCTCACCCCCACCCCCTTCACCCCCCAAAACACCCAGCCCTAACCAAGAAAAGCAAAAAAATTGAAAAAACAAAAAATAGCCCAGACCGGTTCAAGAAAAACATGGCCCGAGCCCGGCCCGCCCAACCCGCCCCAACCGGGTAAAAGCCCGGGCCCAATTAGCACCAACCGGGCCGGGCCGGGCCCGCACAGTAGCGGTCCGGGCCGGGCCGAACCGGTTGGGTCCATCCCTAATTATGGAACTATATCCGTGTGCACTAGAAAGGCTGAAGCACAAAAAAATTTAGTTACTAACAAAAAAAAAACTCACACCTACAATTATGCCTTGATTCATTACGACTTTGCCTGTTCGGAATTCAAAAACAACTTTTTATGATTCAAGTACTTTTGTATTAACATACTCCGTATATTTGTCTAAAAGAGAAACAGAATCATGCTCACAAAAATATGATTCTAAAGAGAAGACCTTTTTCAGTTTTTTTTTTGTTATACTTGATATAATGCCAAAACGCGTACGTACTATCAATATTTTGACAAAAATACACAAATATTCTCTATTTGTAAACAAGTACAGATTATAAGTCACGGTTTATAATAAAAAAAATTGCACTAAAGTTTGCTATGAGATTGGGAATGCATTCAACTACTGAGGGTGAGTTAGCAAGCTTAAAACTGAAACGGTTCAAGCATAAAACCATGATTACTCTATATTTTAAATACTTAAATCTGTTTTATTATAATGCTACAAATGTGTTTAATTGCTTGATTTATCATTTCACTTGTTAAGGAAGGTGATGGAGTATTAACTCCTAGATTCTAAAGAGAAGGGAGAGCTAGAGAGATAAGTAGTATATTTGCTTTGTATTAATGAATTCTGGACCCTTACAACTACTCCCAAGGGGAGTATTTATAGAGAAAATTAGGGCTGGCTCCCAAGTCTTGGGCTTGGGAGGCCCATTTACAATAGGGCCACTAATGGGCCGGATACAAAGTGTATAGAAATGATAAGTATAAAATCCCATTCTAGAGGCTATCTATGAATGACGAGGGCATGGCCGATGAGGGCATGGCCGACGAGGTCACCCGGTTCTCCTGACTTCTAGATCATATTCTGGGTGGCCTTCTTTCTGGCCGATGAGGGCATGGCCGATGAGAGCATGGCCGATGAGGTCACCCGGTTCTCCGGGCTTCTGGATCATATTCTGGGTGGCCTTCTTTCTGGCCGATGAGGGCATGGCCGATGAGAGCATGGCCGTTGAGGGCACCCGGTTCTCCGGGCTTCTGGATCATATTCTGAGTAGACCTTTTCCTGGCCGATGAGGGCATGGCCGATGAGAGCATGGCCGATGAGGGCACCCGGTTCTCCGGGCTTCTGGATCATATTCTGAGTAGACCTTTTCCTGGCCGATGAGGGCATGGCCGATGAGAGCATGGCCGATGAGAGCATGGCCGACGAGGTCACCCGGTGATCGTGGTACCTTCTGTTCTTCTGAATATGTGGGTCCTGGGGCCTAGACCCATATACTCCATCAGAAGGCGAAGAAGATATATTATCTTATTCAGGATCACTTGATGAGGTACTAGGAAGGATTATGTCATTTAAGATAGAAGATGCAACCAGGGGTGAAAACATGGAGAGGCCGGAGGGTGTCTCGGCCCCTGCAACAAAAAAACTCTTAAGTATATATTATGTATAAGGATGTTTGTACTTGGACTGTAATTTGCTGGTCTGGTCTGGTCTGGTCTGGTCTGGTCTGATCTGGTCTGGTCTGGTCTAGTCTGGTCTGGTCTGGTCTGGTCTGGTCTGGTCTGGTCTGGTCTGGTCTGGTCTGGTTTCTTTGTATTTTTATAACTATCCAAGTCTGGTCTGGTCTGGTCTGGTCTGAACTGGTCTGGTCTGGTCTGGTCTGATCTGGTCTGGTCCGGTCTGGGACGAATTACGGTCCAAGTAAAAACATCCTAAATACTTTTTATCTATAGAAAATATGTTGATATTTTAAACTTTGGTCTCTGCAATGTAAATTTTTTAAGGATCGACCCCTTTAACCATAGATTTCTGGCTCCGGATGCAACCAAAAGTGTCTCTCGTACCAATTATACAATCCATAACATAGCAACTTCTTACTGATAATTAGGTATACGACATCTAAAAATTTAGTTTGAATTAACAACGTCATTTATGAGGTTTATTTGGTATAAAATTTGCTTTGCTTTTATTTTTTTTTAATGAGACCCAAAGATAAATGTTGCTTATAGAATCCGAGTAAAAAATATGTAACAATTAATGATTAAAAATGCATATAGAAAACCACTCCATCTAATTTCATTCATGTCACTCTTGACTAAGCAACATCGCCATCACTATTATGAGCTTTTCTGTGCTTTGACTTAATTACAAAGGGCCCTTGGTAATGCTAATGTTGTGATCTTTAAGCTATGGTTGTTGTTGTTGTTAAAATATACTCCCTCCGTTCCATATTTATCTCCTGAAGTACAAATGCCACACGGATTAAGATAGTGGGAAATGTATGGTGGAAAGTTGTGCAGAGAGTAAAGAGAAATGTGTAAGAATGTGTAAGAATGGTTGTGAACCACAAATTATTTTCTAAAAGGGGAAAAAGGAGATAAATTTGGGACAGAGCGAAAAGGAAAGTATGAAGATAATTCCGGAACGGGAGGAGTACATAGTATATATTTTTAGGAAAACTACTAACAATGCTAATGGAAGACTACCTGTTCTTGGTGAGCATGTTGAATACATTTTTTAGACAAACTTTACTAGTTATTTCTATGACAAGCCGTTTAGAAATTGTCAAAGCCACAATCAAATTAAAGCTTCATACCTGTGGGAAAAGAGTCGGGTATCAGACTGTATTTTTTTTCAAATAATAGATTAATATGCTTGTTCGGTATTATCTCTTACTCATAATATATATGCGTCTCCAAAATAGTTTGGATACTACGAGTAATGACAAGCTCAATTAACTATCAAAATGAATATTGGATGGTGAGATACAAGGATGGAAAATATCTGAGTCAATTGATGGTTATGCTTCAACAAAAATTCCCTATTAATTTTTTGTTAAAGAATTTGATGATCCAATAGTTCAAACCATATGTACCATTCCTACTCGAACAATACAAAAGTGAGGGATTCCTCAAGGAGGCAATTTTCTATATTCCTGTGACAATTCTATATAATTGTCTCCTATTTTATTGTAATCAATAAATCTAAGGCTAATCCCCGGAAAGAATTGGGTTTATACTTGCCTAGATCTTTTTTATTCATGGACAACGGCGGCATTACTGCATTATCGAGAATTCAAAGCAAACATGCATTTAGAGCCCGTTTGATAATACCAAAACTGACTGAATCGGCTGATTCTGCTGAAATTTATGAAATTCGGGCTGAATTGGCTGATTCTGCCGAACTATTCAAAAATTATATTAAAAATATATTTTATTAATAAAATAAAGAAAAAATTAGATGTCAAAATAGCTAAAATGATCCTCTACAGTAACTTCAGCCAATACAATCAGAAAAGTAACTATAACATTACTTTTTCTTATTATTAAGCAATTCAGTGTTTAATTGTTTCGACACATTTTGAGGAAATCAACTTACCATGGGGTAAATTTTACTATTTTGACACTGTTTCGACACTGTTTGACATTGTTTCGACACTGTTTGGCACTGTTTTGCATTGTTTGACACTATTTTGATGTAGATTAACTTGTCATCTAAGGAAATGGGAACTTGTTTCTGGAACATCCAAAAAAGGAAAATGAGAAGTTCATTGTGTGACATGAATGTTGTCATCTAAGTTTACTATTTTATTACATGTTACCAACAATATTATTAATTAATACGGAGTAAGTAGCAAATTCTATTAGATAGAGATGGTGTAATTTACTTTTACTTAATATTCTTTTTATTTTAATATTTAAGTACTGACACACACCTTATAGTACTCACTCATTGTCTCATTGACTTGTTTTATTGGAATAATGTAAATTTTTAAAAATTATTTTATTCTGGATTTAATCAGATGATGAACATATAGATACGTGTGTGCATCCATGACTCTCCCCGTGCGTATGCACGGATACTAGTAGAATTTGTGAAGTTCTGAACGATAAAAACTTGAGGTATTGTTAATTATTGAAAAGGATGTAATATTTATACCTCGAAATATGAGTACCGTGACAATATCTATTGATATTTTGGAGTCATTACAATCAAAATAGTTGTAGTACTTAATATTAAAATGACAATATTTTTCAATCATTTTAGTAACTCTTTTTCAAGAAGAAAAATATACTCCGTAAAAGTTATATTTTTAGGATTTTATAAAAAAAAGTTTCATCACCTTTTGTCCTTTTTATAAAGCTGGGAGCCTGGGATCGTTATATCGATTTAATCAGCTCTATATTTCAACATATTGATCCAATTTTAACGGCAGTAAATATAATCACTCATCACTAATAACGTGAATCCCCCCCTTTCGATAGTGAAT